CCAATGGTTCAGGAACGGGCATAGGATTTTATTCTGATAAGCATTCTGGAAACTTTTCCTGATTCCTGAGAGAAAACCAGGAAGAGGCAGCTGTCTGGGACACAGCATGTCTGATGTGCTTCTAGACCTGCTGCAACCATCTTTCTACCAACCCAAGGGTGAAGCCAGCACCGAGGATGGCAGAGCAGAGACATGAGGGAAAATGATATTATGAGCTGTTGCTAGTCCAACGTACCCCAAAGCTTGCCACGTCTGAAATTCCTCTTAACTGAGATAATACATTTCTTTCTTGTTTAAACCAGTTTGACTTGAAGTTTCTCTTACTTGTGGCCAAAAGCATCCTTACTAATATAAAGGTAAATTGTCTTTTTTTTATAAAGTCCGTATTTTAGAGTGATCAAACACTATCTGAATTGATCACATAAAGGTTTGGTTTAAAGTCAGGAAAGTATGCGACACGGTTGTATTCTTTCAGCATACTTATTCCATCTGTATGCTGAGCAAATAATCCGAGAAGCTGGACTATATGAAGAAGAATAGGGCATCAGGATTGGAGGAAGATTCATTAACAACCTGCATTATGCAGATGACACAAAGTTCCTTGCTGAAAGTGAAGAGGACTTGAAGCACTTACTGATGAAGATCATAGACTACAGCCTTCAGTATGAATTACACCTCAACATAAAGAAAACAAAAATCCTCACAACTAGACCAATAAGCAACATGATAAATGGAGAAAAGATAGAAGTTGTCAAGGATTTCATTTTACTTGGATCCACAACCAATACACATGGAAGCAGCAGTCAAGAAATCAAACAATGCATTGCTTTGGGCAAATCTGCTGCAAAAGACCTCTTTAAAGTGTTAAAAAGCAAAGATGACACTTTAAGGACTAAGGAGCACCTCACCCAAACCATGGCGTTTTTCAGTTGCCTCATGTGCGTGTGAAAGCTGGTCAATGAATAAGGAAGACCGAAGAAGAATTGACACCTTTGAATTATGGTGTTGGCGAAGAATATTGAATATACCATGGACTGCCAAAAGAACAAACAAGTCTGTCTTGGAAGAAGCACATTCAGAAGACTCCTTAGAAGCAAGGATGGCAAGACTTTGTCTCGATTACTTTGGACATGTTATCAGGAGGGGTTAGTCCCTGGAGAAGGAAATCATGCTTGGTAAAGTAGAAGGTCAGAAAAAAGGGGAAGACCCTCAATGAGATGGATTGACACAGTGGCTGCAACAATGAGCTCAAGCATAACAACGATCATGAGGATGGCACAGGACGGGGCAGTGTTTCGTTCTGTTGTACACAGGGTCACTATGAGTTGAAACCGACTGGACAGAACCTAACAATAACAACTAAAAACTTCAGTGCTAGAGTTAGACTGATCTAGTTTATGTCTCAGATCTGCCATTTATTAACTTATGAAATTTGGCAATTTACTTATTCTCTCTGTTCTTTGGATTTTCTTTAAAATTGTGATAATAATACTTACCTATTATTGTAAGATTCACCCAGAGTAAAAACCAAAGTCCTTACACTGGCCTACTAGGCCCTATGTGATATGGCTGCCATCACCTCTCTGACTCATCTCCTGCTATTCTTCCCCTTACTCCTCTGTTCCAGTCACACTGGAACACATTCTCCTCTTTAGAGCCTTTGCCCTGGCTGTTTCCTCTGCCTGAAATATTTTTTCCCCAGTAATCTACTGTAGGGCTTATTCCGTCATTGCTATTATTAGTCAGAGTTCAATCAGGGATCAAAGTCACTAATGAATACGTTATGGGATAAAGGATTTATTCTAGGAATCAGAACTTACACAACTGTGGGAGGAGCTGAAGAAGTAAAGGACTGGAAGGAGGAGTTAGAGGACAGAGGAGTCACCAACCAATCAATCTGAGAATCCCAGCACATCTGGCTGCTGAAGTAAGACTGAGAGGGGAAAGCTGTTGATCTGGGTAGGTACTGTCTCCGTAGGGCCACAGCCAACTGTCTGGTGCCCCTGTTGGTCAACAGGGTTTGCAGTTGGGAAGAGCTGGATGCAGAGCATAGGTGTGTTAGGACAAACTGGAACCTGCTGGGCACTTTTGCATCTGTCCATCACCACATCTGACTAAGAAAACTTTGAGTGTAATGGCTAGTGTTTCACTTCTACCTTCCAATTCTTGTGCAAATTCTTCTTTTAACTGACTAACCTGAAAGAATACAGGGAAGGGAATTCTGTTAACTGAGTTGACCCAGTACAAATCATCACATCCTTTAAGTCTTTGTTCGAATACCACCTCCTCAATTATGCCTATCCTAACCATCCTATTTAAAATTGCAACTCTTCACATCTCCTTTGCAGGCCAGTCCTCCTCACATTGTCCCTTAAATGTTTGTGTTCCTGAGAGTTTCACTCTTGGCACTATTCTCTCACTCAGCACACTCTTCTGTGCAATCTCATCCATACTCATAGATGCAATTACTAACCATCCACTGATGATCATCACACTATAGCTCCAGCTCAGTACTCCACCTTGAATACTAGGCCCTATTAGCCAAAGAATTACTAGATAGCTCTACTTGCATTTCTTTAAATTCACGATTCTCAAAACTCTCAGCAGACTAGCTCCTCTTCTATTCTCTGATATTATGAATAACACTTCCAATTACCTAAGCAAGAAACATGAAGTCACTCTATGATCTTTCTTAATTTCCAACCTCTCCCAATAGACAAGTACATCCTGTGGATTCCTAATATTTCTCATATCTGTTCCGTTTTCCCATCCCCATTGCTGCAACCCTATTCCATGCCTTACTTAGATTCTGCACATATCTCTACTCTCCAAGTCAAACTACCCACAAACTGGAACCTGCTGGGCACTACTGTGGACCCTTAAGTAATATTTATGGATATTTTAAGTTTTCATTCTAACAGGGCTATCTGATTATGTCACTCCTTTGCTCTAATGCCTTTAGTGGTCCCCACATTATTCCCAGAACAAAATCTAAATTCCTTAGAATAGTGTCAAATAAACAAATCCAGAATTTTAAAAGAAGAAGCTTTCTTCAGAAAGAAAAGAGAGAAAGGGATACTATAATAAAGAGAACACTTCCACCATAAATCTGCAAGTGTTTCAAAGAGTTAGAGAATGTCTCAGTTTCTTAGTGCTGCTATAACAGAAATACCACAAGTGGCTGACTTCTAACAAACAGGAATTTATTTTCTCACAGTTTAGAAGACTAAAAGTCCAAATTCAGGGCACCATCTCTAGGGGAAGGCATTCTCTTTCTGTTGGCTCTGGGGAAGGTCTTTGTCTCTTTTTAGCTTGTTTCTCAGTTCCTTGTTGATCTTCGTATATTGTCGTATCTATCTTCCCCCATCTATGTTTCCTTGCTTTTGTGCCTAAAATGCTCTTCTATATCTCAAAAGTGATTGGTTTAAAACACACCCAACACTGATATGACCTCGTTAACATAACAGAGAAACTCTATTCCTAAATGGGATTATAGCCACAGATACAGGGGTTAGGATTTACAACACATATTTTGGGGGGACACAATTCAATCCATAACAGGGAAAGTGCATTTTTCTTTTGTAGAAACAGAGTAAACCAGGCTAGAAAAAAATCCAAGTGGGTGACATTATCAATAGTAATCAGAATGTACTCTGAGGTCAGCCTATTCTCTAGGAGGGGCCCTTAAGGAGGGGTTTACATTGTCTCTGAGGGTGGGCCAATGTTCAGGGACTTGGAAGAAGCAGAGAATCTTAACCAAAGTTTAGTTAACAAGCACTTTGTTTCTGACTGATCAGAGGGGACAAGCAATTTACTCATTCAATAGGCAAGGAATGGGAATCTGGAAGGTCTGTGTCTGGCTTTGTCGTAGGTAAACAAGGGGACTTCCATGAGTCTAATCTAAGTCATATGGGAAGGTTGGTTATTTGCCATTTTCCTGAACACAAAGGGTGGGGGATTTCTTTAACCATCACTATTTTCTAGTATCACAGGATTGAGGTAAAATTCTACATTATCAATAGCATGCAAAATTTTTAATAATCTCTTCTTTACCCGTCTGTGCAATCTCACTTGTAGCCATTCTCGCCAACTAAACCTGAGATCCAAGTAAACTGAACAACTTCCAGTTGCCCACGTTTACAAAAATGATCTCTAGAATACCATGACCCAGGCTGCCGGCCCCTTACCTCTCTTTGTCTGCAAATTTGTACTGATCCTTTAAGTCCCAACTCAATTTTTACCTCCTTTGAGAAAAATTTCCTGATATTCCCTTTACACATTAATGGCCATACCTTCCATTGCTCTATTGCTGTCCCATCATGTATTTCTCCAAGTGTGTCTCATAATATACCTCCAAACTCTCTCTCTCCAAGTTGGAAGACACATTTATGTAGCTTGAATATTAAATTTATTTATTTAAACATTAAAAAATCTATGTGGATTTGTAAACTTAACAAAGACAGGTCCTGTAGACATGATTTTTTAGTGAAAAGAGCACTGGACTAGAAATCAGGAGATTTAGGTACTGTCCTAATTCAGTTACTACCTTACCATCTCTGGCCTCAGTTGCCTCCCTCATAAAGGACTGTGACTCGACTAACGCCCTAGTCTCTGGGTAGTACCTTACAGCTCATCTGTTATTTTTTATTATTCTCTAGTCCAGCCACCATCTTTTTACAGGCAAGGAAACTGAGGTACAGTCATTAAGGCAACAGAATCTTGGAATCTTAAACTGGGGCTGACATCTCAGGAACCCAACTGGTTCTAAAATGTACCTAGTTAACGAAAACGGAGGAAATAGGTAAAGAAACGCAGGAAGAAATGGTACTTTAAGGGAAAAAAAAAACAGCCATGGGTAAGAGAGAGACCTCCGTCTTCCACGAATTATAAGAAAACTTCCTGTCCTGGGAAAACTTCCGGAATCAGCAACAGAAGACCCAATCAGAACCTCTGCCCGGGAGCCAATGGGAGAGCACATTACAAAGAACCAATCCGGGCGGTGCTGTCACTGCTATAGTCCTGTTAGGGAGCCGGCGTCGTAGTGCTTGGCGGTCACCACCAAGAGGACCTTGGTGGAGCGGTTTTGGGGTAGCGCAGCGGCCCGCTGCGCTCGTTTGCGGTCTCGCTCTCAATTTGCAGCTTCTGACTTGCAGTCCACACCGTAGGGCGAGCGTGCGGGTCAGCGCCGCCGCCGCCTTTGGGCCTGGGCCCAGCCGCAGCCTCCTCCGCCTCAGCTGGCTGAAAGGGGCCGCGAGATGCAGCCGCTGGGCCCACCGCCGGCGTATTCCCCCTCCAACGGGGACTTCACCTTTGTCTCCTCAGCAGACGCAGAAGGTGAGACGAGGAGGTCCAGTCATCCCGGCTGGCGCCGAGCCCGACTTGGTGGGGTTTTCCTTGTGATGAGGCAGAGTGGCGGTGGGGACAGGCAGGAAGCTTTCTGGTGACTCAAACCCTCCACGCCTGCTGGGCCTTGAGAAGGGCGCAAAGGGCCGAGCGAGGGGTTTTGGGAGCGTCCTTGAAAAGCATCGAGTAACTCCGGCAGATCCTGGCGTTCCCCACACTGGTGGCAGGCTTTGGTGGCTTATTCGCCTCAAGTAGACTCACGGAACCCTAAGGTTTTATTTTTGGGGTTACTTGTAGTTACTCAGAAAAAACATGATTCCATTGGTCAGGGTAGTTGTCAGAGAATGAAAACAAGACGGGAGAGCAGTTATCCTGTTATTTATCAATAGGTAACTTTTTTTTGGTTGGGGTTAGAGTCAGCGCTGCAAACACAAATATGTTAAATAGAATTTGATAACTTAGGCCCCAGTTTTCCTCTCATTTTATAGTGTTTGACCTTATTACTCGGATAAGTGGACCCAGGTGTATTTGAAAACTTCTCTGAATCCGACTAGGTGCCCCCAATAGTTGCTGCAGATTTCCTGTATTGTTTTGATGAAGCAACTCTGCTGGAGAGATTTTTTTTCTCAGGACTGGGAAATTTGTTTTCTTCCTTTTCTCAGTTCCTTACCCCACTGCTTGTAATCTGAATCTTTGTACGTGTCCTTTTTAGTTTTTACTTTTAGTATACTGTACACTAGTTACCTTCCAGTGAGCAGATTTACTGCCCAATAGGAAAAAGTAAGTTGTACTTAGCTATTGAAATTTCAGTCTAGGGAAGAACCTAAATTTTTTATTTTCCTCAGAAATTTGATTTCCGAGTGCATAAGTTAGTAGAATTTGTTTTCCTTTCTTTTTTTCCCCCTTGTTTTGTTCTTTGAGTGATGTTGTTTAAAAAAAAAAAAAAGTACTGTAGTTTTGATTATAATTTAAATGTAAAATAATTTTTTATCTATCAAAGGAAACATAGCTGATACTTTTCTAAAAACTTATTATGACTATTTGGTGAAATAAAGCAACCCAAAATACTTCAGTTTCTTTTAATCTACATTTGGTAGCATAGTGCTTAGGGCAGAATATCAACCTAATTTCCTAAAATTAAAAAAGTATGTCATTGAGTTTCAGAACTTGATATTTTTTCAAACCCACGTATCTATCTATTTTTTCATATACTCCCTCGTCCCAGGAATTACCTTTCTTATATACACCTAAGAAATCAGACAGAATAATGCAACTAGCTAACCTATTAACTCCATATCCTAAACCAAGAAACCTGGAATAAGTAAAATCTATAAGGTTTACTCAAACTTTTCCAGATATCCTTCTTATTACATATATTATTACATGTAATAATACTCTCCATGTATATAACATCGTACAGTTTAAATTTACAGAGTATTTTAAGCATATGACCTGTCTGATCTTTATAAGAATCCTAATGAGCTTTATTTTTCCTGTATTTTGTAAAGAAACTGAGACTTAGAGAAGTACAATGATTTACACATGGTGGATCTGGAATTAAGAGCTAGTCTTTGTCTTCTCAAAGTTCTTTCCACTAAACCATGATGTATCTTTCTTATATTTTTGTAAATTGAATAGTGTGTCTGAAGTGTATTATTAATTGGCATTACCAGTTACTGTCTAGGTGATCTTGGGCAAGTTGCTTATCTTTTCTTAACCTCATTTTACAAAATGGGGATAATTATACTCAAGTGCTGAAATATTTTGCAAATGTGGAGCTCTTAGTACCGTGTCTGGCAGAGTTAAATGTCCAGTACATGTTAGCAATGCTGCTGCTGCTGCTGCTGCTGCTGCTGCTGCTGCTGCTGCTGCTAGGGTTTCAGTACTAACTGACCCCACACCTTTTTTTCTTGTTACCCGTTATCAGCATTTGACTCTGCAGCTCCAAGTGTTTTCTCTGGTCCCTAAACATGTCATGTAAATTCTTGCTTCTTCCCTTTTTATTCTGTTTCTCTAACCATGAATGTTTTTAGCTTATAAATGTTTTCAGTGTACACCTTTCTAGATTCTGTTCAAGTCTCTCTTTAACGAAACCTATCCTTACTATTTGTGCACACATATCCTTTGTTCTAAAATGTGCCTGGGTGTTTTGTCTGTGCTTATGCTAGCCTGCATGTTTGGAATACCTTTCTTCTTCTTGCCTCCAAAAAACCAACCAAACCCACTGCCACTGAGTTGATTCTGACTCATAACGACCCTATAGGACAGAGTAAAACTGCCTCATATGGTTTCCAAGGTTGTAATCTTTACAGAAGCAGACTCTCCCACGTCTTTCTCCAATGGAGCAGCTGGTGGGTTCAGACCACCAACCTCTCGATTCACAGTTGAGTGCTTTAACCACTGCACCAGCAGGACTCCTTTCCTTGCCCCAAGTGATAGTTAAAACTGCTCCTCCTTGGTGAATCTTGCTAAACTGTCCGTCAGAAACAGAAACTTCGCTGATATTTTCTATATCATAACAGCTAGCACAGAACAAACATTAAATGTTTGTTGAATGAATAAATGATTTCTGCTTTTTTTAAATCTCGTATAGCATTGATAGACGGGATTACAGAATTTAACACAGTTAGATGTGTAACTAAGGAACCCTGGTGGTTCAATGGTTAAGCTCTCAGCTGCTAACCAAAAGGTCAGAAAAGACCTGGTGATCTGCTCCTGTAACGACTACAGCCTAGGAAACGCTATGGGGCAGTTCTACTGTGCCGTATAGGGTTGCTTTGCGTTGAAATTGATTCGGCACACAACAACAACACAGATATACATGTAACTAAAAAAATTGCTGGATTTAGAGTGAGAAGACTTACGTTAGAGTCCTGACAACAGTAGCTATGGGCAAGTTACATATTTTCTATAAGCTTCCATTTTGTCATCTGTAAAATGAAGAGCATACTTATAAGAATATTGTGAGGCTTATTTAAGATAATGTATATAAACCAAAAACCAAACCCACTGCCCTTGAGTCGATTCCAACTCATAGCAACCCTGTAGGACAGAGTAGAACTGCCCTTATAGGGTTTCTAAGGCTGTAAATCTTTACAGAAGTAGACTGCCACATCTTTCTCCCATGGAGCAGCTGGGGGGTTCAACCTGCTGACCTTTCAGTTAGCAGCTGAGTGCATAACCACTGCACCACCAGGGCTCCTAATGTGTATAAGTACCAAGTTAAGAGAACATGAGATATGTGTGAATGAAGCATTAAATGAATTGAGAATAATAGTGAAATTCAGACTAAATAATCAAATCTGGTATAAAACTACATTCAAAAGCAGTAGTGAAATGCATGTGTATAAAAGCAAGGATATAATGATACCATTATATGGAAAATTTAGAAATCTTTAAGGCAGTTCTTTGTCTTGACTTTGTATCAGACAAGTAAGTAATTCTGTGCCTGGTATATGTTCACAGACCAGCAGCATTGGCATTACCTGGGTACTTAGTAATGCAGAATATGCCGTAATCATAATCTACATCTTAACAAGATCCTCTGGTGATTCATATACACATCATAGCTTGAAAATCATTGGTTTAGAATGTTATGAAGGATCAGAAGAGGAGGGAATTATTTCTAGCTGGAAGATCAGCAAAAATAACGGATGTCATATTTTGCCGAACTTTGAGGGATAATGATTTGACTATTGTAGGATGGGGGAAATACCTACCATGTGTAAGAGACTGCATATGAGGAAGTCCCTGCCACTAAGAAATTCACAGTCTGAGAAGAAAGAGAAAATTTCAGTGTACATAAGAAAGTGATATAAAACGCATGGTACAAAGGAGGGAGTGGTTATCTCTGCAGAAAGGATCACTGAAGTTTTCAGAAACTAATGAGGTACATTTTGAAGGATGAGTGAGAGTTCTTCAGACTAAAGAGGAAGAGTATTCACATAAGAACTATACGGTGATTGGTGGAGTAGCGCCAGTCTCTATATCTTACACTTCTCAGTCTTCATGAACCTAAAACATTTCTGATTTAGATCATTATCTCCTTGGAGTTAGAAGCTGTTTTACTGCCTAGCACAGACCATGGCACGTAACAAGAAGTTAATAAATTTTGTTGAATGAATGAATTACTATGTGATTCTCAGTTTTCATTAAGATAAAGATGCTGTGCTGCTGGAACTGAAGCCAAGCACTAATTCAACAACTAGTAGGAAAGGGCATGAAAAAAGACAACTAAGCAAGTAAGATGATTTAGCTTACGTAAAGATTTACAGCCTTGGAAACCCTATGGGGCAGTTCTACTCTGTCCTACAGGATCGCTATGAATTGCAATCTACTCAATGGAAATGGGTAGTGGTGGTGATGTGTACTTGAAACATTCATCTTTCCTCCAAGTCTTCAAGGGAAGGTTTCTTTCTTCCTTTCCTAGGATAACCTTCTACTAGTGCTTTTATTGCCCATATCCTCCTGCGTCTCTTAGGGCCTTTCTTCCTCTGTTTTTCTCTCTAGCATCTTTTATCTCTCTTCTGTTTCTCCCATCTCTACCATTACACACAACTCCCTCCTAATTGACAAAATCCTTAATTGTACGACTTCCTTTTTTCCTTATTTTCACAGCTAAACCGTCCCTGTTATTTCCTGTTTCCTCAGCATCCAGCAATCTGTACCACTCTTCAGGAACTGCACTTGCTTCCTAACATCTATGGCAGCATTTTCAGCAACGTTTCCCAGAGGGAAAGTTCTTACCATTTCTCATGTGTACTCCTTACTATAGCCTCCTGACCAGCTTCTTTGCTCCAGTCTCTCCCGTCTTAAATCAGTCCTCCATAGTACAGTTAAGATTATGATTCGAGAATATAACTTTCACCTTTTCCAATAGCTTTATTAAAAACCTTTAATGCCACTTCTTAATTTAAGCTGTACAGAACTCTTAGCCCTTCCATTTATTGATTCAGTCAATACACATTTACACTGTTGTAAGTACTAGGGAT